CGGGGATCTCCAGTGGACCTCTGACATAGCCATGTGTAGAACACCTCCTGAAGGGGTACACCCTGCGCAGCGGAAGACAATAGAGAGGTAAGTGAGGAGGAGGCGAAAGGTGAGAGAGAGAGAGAGAGAGAGAGAGAGAGAGAGAGAGAGAGAGAGAGAGAGAGAGAGAGAGAGAGAGAGAGAGAGAGAGAGAGAGAGAGAGAGAGAGATGAGGAGAGGAGGTGGGGGGGATCCAGACGCGGAGAGCCCCTCTTACGATCCCCCTTTTACAAAGGGAGAGGTGAGCGGGGCACCCCCACTACAACCTACACAATGTAAGCACTATATAAATTTGACACACCCCCATAGGCAAAGTGGGGGAGAACAAGTGGTCACAAGACCAGTCAAGAAAAGCAAAGCAAGCTCGGGGTGGATCACGAAGTCACCACACATTCCGAGCACAAACAAATGGCCACAAGGCCAGTTCACATGCAGAGTTATATAAAAGAGAACAAACAGTACAGTGATCATACCCTAACAAGTGTAAGCATGCAGGTATATATATTGATAACAGTACACGCAAAGTCACGTAGTGAGCAAGTAAGACAAAGTAGGTACAAGGCCTAAAACAAAACAGAAACGCTAATGATCACCAGACTGAAGTGCCTTGGTAAATATATCAGCAGTGCTGGCCCGAGTGGCCACGTAAGCAAGACGAAGCAGACCACGCTGATGCAGCTCTCGAGCAAGGAAGTAACTCTGAGCGATGTGCTTCGTTCTGTGCTCCAGTCTATGCTCCTGACACAAGGAAATTATGGCCTTGTTGTCTACGTACAGAACTGGAGAAGAACGAGGCCGCTCTCCCAAGTCGGTCAGCAGGTAGGTGAGCCAGCGTAACTCTTGTGCAGCCATGGCTGCCGGGGTAGATCTCAGCCTCACAACTGGAACTGAGAACAGAAGACGAGCGGTTAGACCGCCAAGAAACAGAGCCGGAGCCAAGGCTGAAAGTGTAACCTTGTGACGACCGCTGTGTAGCCAAGTCGTCAACCCAAGAAGCGTCTGCGTGTCCAGTGAGGACAACTGGACCCCGTCCTCCAAGCACGAGCCCCATGCCCAAGGTACTGCACAAGTAGCGCAACACCCTCTTAGCGGCCTCCCAGTGCTCTGATCGTTGTTTCCCGGGCGCAACATAGCGTGCCAAGATGCTAAGAGGGTAGGCAAGGTCAGGTCGAGTGCAGGTCATCAGGTACATGAGGCAGCCCACAAGCTCTTGATACGGGCCACTCGCCTCTACGGACTCGTCCAAAGCAGGCAGAGGAGTGGACTGTGGCGAGGAGTACCGGAAGCCGAAGCGCTGAAGGACGTGGTGCACCATGTGTGACCGAGTCAGGGTGATGGTGCGCTGTGCTCTGTCCCGGGTGATCTGCAAGCCAAGATAGCTGCGCAGCTCACCTAGGTTAGTGCAGATGTGTCTCTTTTGCAGCTCTGACTTCACAAGGGCCAGTGCCTCAGTGTCAGCAGTGACAAAGACCAAGTCGTCGATGTGCACGAGGACGTAGAATAGTGGCAGCCAAGTGTCGGTGCGTAGAAACAGCGACGGGTCAGCAGTAGAAGGAGCAAACCCAAGAGTCGCAAGCGTCATCTCAGTGTGTCGTGCCACTTGCGAGGCGCCTGGCGAAGACCATAGACTGGCCGCCGGAGGCTCCACTGGGTACCTGTAAGAAATGACTCAGTGAAGCCAAGTGGGCGGCACAGCCAGATCTCCTCGTGCAGGCTGCCCTGCAAGAAAGCTGTGCTGAAGTCAAGAGAGTGCAACTCGTAGTCACGCTGAGCAGCGACGTGCAGCAACACCCGAAGAGTGGTCATCTTCGGGGTAGGGGAGAAGGTCTGTAAGAAATCAACTCCCTGTCGCTGACTGAAGCCTCGTGCAACGTAACGAGCCTTGAAGACAGGCGGAGAACCCGTCGGCCGCTTCACCCTGAAAATCTACATGCCATCGACTATGTTCGCCCCAGAAGGGGGAACTGCGTCGACGTAGGTGCCTGTGGACTTCCAGGATGCCACCTCTGCGTCCATGGTTGTCTGCCACTAAAAGGAGTACGGACCCATAATCGCCTCTGCGTAAGAGCGCGGGGTCGGGATGTCTGGCGCATTCGGGTCTCCCTTAGGGGCAAGCAGCATGGCCACGAGATGAGGTACAGGAGCTGCAAGACACTCAAAGTCATCCTGCCTGTCCTCAAGGACGTCCGTGCAAAGTGCACACTCACCCCCAACGGACGGAGGACAGTCAGACTCAGACTCAGCAACAAGACGGCGTCTCGACTGCCGCCTGTCGTCTCGTCTGCCCTAGTTGCTGAGCTTGTTGACTTTGCTGCCCCCGGCGTAGTCGAAACGACAGGCGGCAGCAAAGTCAACAAGCTCAGCAACTAGGGCAGACGCAGCAGTGGACTCAAAAGAAGGGTCAGTGACAACAGTGGCTAGAAGACACGAGACAGTGGGACTGACAGCACGAGCTAGGTCAGACCCAGGGTCAGGAACGGCAGGAAGAGTGGACTCAGGAGGAGGCGGCAGGGGAACTCGTAGTGGAACAGAGGAAAGACGAAGTGCCATAATGTGAGTGCCGGGGACAGGAGGAGGACGCGGACGAGGAACACGACGACCAGTGCGAACAGCGCGAACAGGCGAGGTTGGACGAGACTCAGGCTCACGACGTTCTGTAAAAGAGTATGTTTGTTCAGCGTAGGGAGAAGGATTAGGTAGTGGGGAGTCTGGCTGTAACTGTGGCTGCGAGTGGCAAGGTGGTGGACTCAGTAAGCTAGGCGGAAGGCCAGTAGAAGACGGGAGACTAAGAACCTGGCGAAGGACCGAGTCAGGTGGCGGCAGAGACGACGGTGGCGGTGGAACGAAAAACGGTCGCCACTGCACAGTGCCTCCAACTCCAGTACCTCCCGACGTAGCACCCCCAGCGCCAGCACCTCCAGCTCTAGGGTCAACAGCTCCAGTACCGCTAGTACGAGCACCTCCAGGACTAGCAGCTCCAGCACCTCCGGTACCTCCAGCTCCAGCAGGAACTCTAGCACCGCTAAGACTAGTAGCTCCAGCACCTCCAGCTCCAGCGCCCCGAGCGGCAGAGCCTCCAGCTCCGGCAGCTCCACTCCGAAGGCATGTGCATTGAGCAAACCACTCGCGCAGCTGCTATGGGGAGAGAGGCTCCGGCTGGGGAGACCGTCGTGGCGAGGCACCCGCAGGACCTCCAGCAGAAGCAGTACCCCTAGTGGGCTGTGAGCGGGCCGCAAGGGCGGCGAGCGGGCCGCAAGCTGGCGGCGAGCGGGCTGCAGGGGCGGCGAGCGGGCCGCAAGCGAGCGGCGAGCGGGCTGCAGGGGCGGCGAGCGGGCCGCAAGCGGGCGGCGAGCGGGCTGTAGGGGCAGCGAGCGATCTGCAGGGGCGGCGCGCTGGCTGCAGGGGCGGCGCACGGGCTGCAAGAGCGGCTCGCGGGCTGCTAAGGGCGGCGCGACGGGCTGCTAAGGGCGGCACAGCGGCCAGCAGGGTGGCGCGCTGTTAGGGCAGGGCGGCAGGGCAGCTATTGGGGCAGCTCTGTGGTGGGCCCTAAAAAAAATCGGTCCTAGGGAAGGACCTGCTCTGAAACCATGTCAAAATAAGGAACGAGAATGATGGATTGAACAGAAAGTTGGGTACAAGTACTAACCCTAATTGGGTTGTACTCCTTATGGGCTACCCCATTACAGCCTACACAATGTAAGCACTATATAAGTTTGACACCTCTTACGAACCCCCAATTCCACACCCCCTTTCAGCCACCCTCCTAAACCTCACCCCCCTTGTTCAGCCGCCACCCAGAACCGCACCCCTTCCGCCACCCCCTCACCCTCCCCCCACAGCGGCATGTGCGGCAGTGAGAGAGAGAGGAGGAGGGGCGGCAGGCGCTGAAGAACCCCTCCTGCCATCCCCTCACCCTCCATTATCCGCCCCCCCATCACCCTTCACCCCACAGGCGCAGGAAACCCTACCGCCACTCCCCCGACCCCCAATACCCTCTCCCCCCCCCCCCTTTTTCTGCTGCACGCGCAGCAGGGGGAGGGAGAAGAAGGGGGGGCGGGGTAGAGGCTGCACTTGCGGCTGCAGATTCGTGTGCAGCTGCGCGCACTGCACCTGCCACGCGCGCAGCTGCGTATAGCTTCGAACGCGTGCAACTGCAGTGCGCGCGGCTGCTGCTGCGCGTAACGAGGGGGGGAGGGGGCGACGGGAAGCGGGCGACGGGGCCGCGGGCGACGGAACGGTGCGGAGCGACGAGGGGGCCGCGGGGCGACGAAACGGCGCAGGGCGACGGGGCGTCCGGCGAGGGATGCAGCGGCAGGGCGACGAGGCAGCGGGGTCCTCGCGTCGAGGCGGACGACGAGGGCCACGAGCGCCGTCCCAAAGCGCGCGCGAATTGCGTGCGCGATGCACGCACCTGAAGCGCGCGCGAAACGCCTGTCAACCGCACAGGGAGGCGAGCTCGACGCCGGTAGCAGAAAAATAGGCCTCCATCGGAGTTGGCGGGTTTGGTGGGCCCATTAAAAGTTTAGGGTCCTAGGATTGGAGCCACTCTGATAACATGTCAAGATTAAGAGTTACCTAGGCTTAGGAGAAACCCTAGCCAAGGTGCTTGTAGAGAGGAACGAGAGGTGAGTTGGCCAAACAAAGAGGAGGCTTCACTAAAGGGCCAAAGGCCCAAGTTATACAAGACGCAAGCAAGGAGAGGAGCACCACAAGCAGGAAACCATATAAATACACCACAGCTAGAACTATATGCATTTATACAGAAATATATTAAAAAATATATTCTGACACCCAACTCATCTGGTCTGAATCCACCATGCCCAGTCTCTGAATGACACATTGGTTTCTTTGTTCACAATACCGTAGAAGTTAGGGTTATTATGCCTGGGCACCATGAAGGTCCCGTAAAGGTATAACGGATGCCAATCTGAACCATTGTCGCCGGAGACCAACAATCGGGATCATGCGTTGCTCGAGATTCCTCCGCTGCTCCTCGCCCCCTGAGCGCGCGCAATCTCCATGCTGAGGTTGACATTCTCGGAGCTCTCGAGCTCGCGGTCAATGCGCGCCGCCATGCGGTCCTCCTCCTGCCCGAGAAACTCCTCCTTCATGACCAGCAGCTCGCCGAGCACGCGGCTGATGGAGGGGCGCGAGGCCGTGGGCATGGCGGTGCAGCGCAGGGCGAGGCGGGCCATGCGCAGCACCAAGTCGTCCGACGCCTCCAGCTGCGGGTCCTTTATCGCTGCCACGTCGCCGGCGGCTAGCAGCGGAGCCACCTGAATGCAGAGGGTCCGGGAATGCGTGATGTGATATTGTAATATGCAGTTGAAGTTGGGTGATAACGATTGTGCAGTGATATACAATGTACTTGAGTCTGTGTGTGTTAATGTTTGCCTGTATGCTTGTGTTCACCACTTGGAGCAATATAGGAAAGAAGATCCAGGTTGAACATTCAGATGGGGGAAGAAAAATCAGAGGAGGAGGTAAGAGGAGTGAGGGAGCTCACCCACTGCTTGAGGTTGATCTGATGTGCATCCGCATTGTAGATGGCCTTGCGCGCTGTGATGAGCGTCAGCATCACCACCCCAAAGCTGTGAGCGAGAGCAAGTGCCCAAGCATTAGTGTTACGAGTGCAATTGAGTGATCGAGCGAGAATTGCATTATCGAAGCAAACAATACAATGAGCGAAAGCATGAGCGGATTGTTAAATAGCGAAGACATTTCGGCAATGGTAACGCGCTCGCAAAAAGGTGCCCTGCGGGCCTGATGTCGAGGCTGGGAAATGTCGAAGCGTAGGCTGGGTCGGGGGTTACCAGCCGAGCCGGGAGGTTTGGGTTGGGCGCGAGAGTCGAGGTGGTGGGAACAGTATGGAGGCGAGTGTCACGATGTGGTAACTGCTATTGGCTGTACAGTAGCGGGAACAGTCTTGTACGCGGTATGATGTGTCATGCGACGTAAGGAAATGTTGTTTCCTTACAATTAGGCACAACAGCATGGCAAGCTTGCTACAGTGCTCAAATTACATAAAAAAAATAAATAAAAAATGCTACACTGATTTCCTAATACAGTACATGTGCACATCAGCCTTTGGCGTGGCCTTCTGTGACTTGTAGTAAGCCGGGTCCACATAGCCCGGTGTGCCCATCACCCGCGTGGCAATCACCGACGTGCCCTCGCCATGCCTCACCAGCCCAAAGTCCGCAATCTTGGCCTGCAGGGCAAGGACCTTAACTAGTTTATAGTGGGATTCATTGTGTTGTATCATTGTGGGATTCATTGTGTTGAATCATTCCCCTTAAACTAGTTAATTGAGCGAAGGTTCATCGTTTGATGGAGAACCGAGAATAGGGTGCATATGTGAGGTTCCCGAACGATGCCACATGCACAATGGCATATCAAGGTCGACTCAGCAAGGCAGGGCCGCATGGTGGAGGCGGCAGTGAAGAGTGAAGCGCTCACTGGGTCCGATCCAGCGGTCGAGGTCGCCGTTGTCAACGAACTCATAGATGACGATCTGCTCCATGCGCTCCGCCACCGGGTCGTAGTCCATGCAGTACCCCAGCAGCCTCACCAGATTCGGATGGCTCTTCGTTGCCATCTCGTTCACCTGTGCTCCAAAAAGGGAGGGGTTTAGAGGGGACAGAGGGTTGAAGGGGGGTAGGTTAGAGGGGAGTGTGAGGGGCCAGAGGAGGGAGGGAGCGAACATAGAAGCCAGAACATTGTAACAACATGCACAGATAGTCTGCAGCGTACCTCGTACCTCGTTGGTGAGGACAGCGTGCACATGGGATACGGTGTGCTAGAATCCATTCACTGAGATGGAGTGCCACACACCTCGCGCTTGAAGTCGTTGGTGAGGACTTTGGCGCGTTTGACGGCCCAGATGTCATGGGGAGCGGTGGGGTTGGCGCCCTTGTACACATCCCCGAAGCTGCCGCTGCCAATGCGCTTCGCCTCCGCCCACTCGCCCGTCGCTGCCGCCAGCTCCGCCAGCGAATACTGCCGGCACACCAACGGCCGCGCCTCCACCGCTGCTCCCACATTTCCCCCCGTTGCACCCACTGCCGCCGCCGCTGCTGCGCCTCCTGCAGCGGCAACTGTTGCTGCGTGTGCTGCTGGTGCCTCTGCGGCGGAAGGAGCAGCAGCTGCCTGCCACGGCCACCTCCACCCTCCTCCTGCTCCTCCTGCCACAGCCACTCCCGCTGCTGCTGCTGCTTCTTTTCCTTCTCCTGCTGCTGGCGCTGCTGCTATGCAGGCTGTTGATGCTGTTGGTAGTGTCAGTGCAAGATCCACTGCTGCTGCCTCTGCGCCACCATCACTGCTCTTTCTGAACATCCACCATCCACTGCCACTCTCCACCTCAACAACCTTCGCCTCTCCCCCATCTTCCCTCTCCCCCTCACTGCCTCCGCCTTCCATCCTCTCTGCCTCCCCCTCTTCCTTGCTCTCCTTCTCCCGCCTCACTTTCTCCCTCTGCTCCCTCACGCGGATGTAAGTCAGGTACACAATCACCAGCAGCAGTGGCAAGAGGATCACAGACGCAACCACAATTCCTGCGATGTCTTCTGAGCTCAGGTCTTGTCTTTTGTAACTCGTGGTTGCCACTGGAAATAACAGATCACATAGGCAAAGGATCCAAGCGGAAGAAAGAGGCAGAATCTCAAAACCAGTGAGAATCGAGATGTGAGTGGAGAGATTGGTGCCAAGCCAGCATGCAGACCTACGAGCTTGCAGGGAAACGAGCATGCAATTAGTCAGGCATGATATCGTGGCTGCAACGTCTGGATCCCTGGACAACCAGCAGGGTGGAGGATAACTCCTTAGGTGCCTTGGGAGGTGTTTCAAAATGTAAGCACTCCTTCTGAGTAGTAGCAGCATGCCAACGTACTGTTGGAAGGGTTGCAAGTGGCACAGAAGCCCGTGCACAGGCAGCAGAATGGAGACCTGACATATTGGTACACCACACAATCTCCCTCGTTGACAGGACACATAAAGTTATCTCAGTCGATGCTCCTGTCAGGGGATGGTGGAGGAGTGTAAGGCCCATGAGAGGGGGAAAAGAGGACATAACCATTGAGAGACAGCTGGTAAATTGCTCTCAAGGCCAGGAGATGATAGACCGCATGACTAAGTCATGCCCAGAAGGGAACTCCAAATGGCTCGGTAAAGCTGTAACAATATTCTTCCTGATGCCATCGCTCTCGCTCCCCACTCTCCCTCCCCCAAATTTCTCCCCCTCTCCATTCGCCCTTCCTCCCTCCCTCTCGCCCCTGTTGCATGCCCAATCTGAACACGTTTCCGTGCGGCTCTCACAGTGTGTATAATTTCCCCAAGGAGGGAGGAAGTGTGCCCGACAACTGGTTGCCTTGGAGTTGGCTGGGAGAGAATGAAAAGTAACAGGGGACATGGGGCACGGAAAACCCAGGGGAGATAGTTAGACGCTTTCACGATGGGTGAATCTAACGCTGCGTACGAGTTCCAACCATACGTACAGATTAAGGTAGTTGTGGGCGGATTCGGTCGTCATGCCAGGAATGCTGCCACTGAGCTGATTCTGTGAGAGACCACTGCAGGTACGACATGTGGATATGGGAAACACGAGAGGGCATATGCGAGGCTCGGCCTCTTTTGTTCCTGGCCATCTTTCAACAAAGTCATCAAGAGTGAGAAAATTGACAATGCTTGTGTAGGGAATGCAAGGCAAAGATGCGATGTCTCCTGTGCTTCTCTCCTGTTGCTCGTTCTCCAGAGTATGCTTACAGGTAAGCAAGTCTTGGGAGCTGCATAATGCCCGAAGGAATGCTGCCACTGAGCTGATTTTTCCATAGTTCACTATGCACATGATGTTGGGAGAGAGTGAGAAAAAGCATCACAGAGGGAGACGAGACAGGTTGGAAAGAAGGCGATAAAGGTTGAAAAGCCTATGAGGGAAGTCAAGAAAAGGCGAGCCGAATCACAGCCCTTTGTGACGAGGTCAAGATGGACCTTTGAGGCGCCTCAGAAGATGAGCGTACTCACAGCTTCCATAACTTGGTCAGGGTGGAGATAGAGTCCGGTATAGTCCCCATGAGCTTGTTGTTCGCCAGGGACCTGCAACAGCGGCAGGCATGGCTCATTCTATCATATCGCCCCACGGAGAAGGAACTGCGATGGAAGTGAGATGGAAGCACCCCCGAGGACACCCGTTGACATGTGTGCATTGAGAAGGAGTGGTGGTGGTGATTGGGACAAGGGGTGGTGGTGAGAGGGACAAGGGGTGGTGGTGGTGAGAGGGACGCACAGTTTGGTGAGCGCAGAGAGCTTGCTGATGCTGTAGGGGATGCTGCAGCCGGCAAGAGAGCGACCGCCGAGGTCTCTGAGGAAAGGATTCGCATTATGGCAAGCGAATTATCAGGACTCGCATGACAACAAGCGGCATGCAAGCGCTATTGCCATGTCATCCAGTCATGCTATGCCAAGCCATCTAGATCCATGGAACGGCAGCAGGCCCAATGAGGCGATCGTTGGGTTGGGTGGGTACCTTTCAGAGTTTTTTTTTGGAAACGAAAAGCATGTAGAATGCGATGGGCCTGTGCGGTGCCGTCGCACGCTAACAAGATACATTGGTGCTGAAGCTGATGGAGGAATCCCACCCCATGCAATGGGATGATCGATGATCTATGCGATGAGGTCACTCACAGCGAGTTGACCATGCCGCGGTAGTCGCAGTAGACGCCTGACACGGAGCAGTAGGACGGGTTGAAGGCGTCTGTCAGGCCGCAGGGCACGAACTCTTTCATCACCTTGTCTGCGCAACCCACCGCAAGAGAGGTGGAGGAAAGAGGGAGATGGGAAGGGGCATTCAGAGAGTCGTTGAGTTGCGGCGCGCTGGCGTTTCCCCGGGCAAACATGGACATGGACTACCCTTCCAGGAGACAAGGCGCTGCCCCGAATATAGCTTCACAGGAGGACTAAGCAGGTTGCAAGAGCCAAATCAGGAGGGTTCTGCCTTGTAATGTTGTGTGTTTGGACATGGTTGGTTACAGCAGCACTGGCGTCGATCTCATGTCAGGCTCACTTTTAATCTTCGCTGAGGCTTCGACGTGCATCGGTCCACAACAGCCCGAATCATCACACCTCGGGGGAAACACTCCTCGGGAATATCAAGCGTTGGTGGTATCCCACCTTGCGGTTATCACACATGGGGTGGGGGGTACCGCACCTTGTGTCTCGTCGTAGGCAGTCGTGTTGCACGAGCACAGATAATACCCGGCATTGGATCCGTATTGGCAAACACAAGAGTCGGACTGTGCGTTGGCGGTTAGAGGATGTTGTTTTAACCCGATAACGAGGAGAAAAAGCGTGAGCTGGATGCTATTCTGAAGTATCCCCAAAGGCGCGAGACGGAGACGAACGGGACACCCCATCATGCTGACGATGCGCGGAGGTGAGACAGCTAGGAAGCGTCTGATGAACAGGGGCACGTTGTCGAAAAGCAACTCGACAGGAGGTGGGAAACAAGGAATGACTGGGGGCGGGTAGACAGTAGGCTGCGTTTCAAGGAGCTAAGTTATTCTTGACACCGATTCTTGATTGTGAAGAAAGTGAGAGAGGGAGATGTCTTTGTGTCTGCCTGAGGAGGTTGAGGGTGGGAAGTTGGGCACATGTCAATCAAAAGAGCGACGAGGAACTGGAGACGTTTTGGGTCGGTGTAAGAAGAAACCCGTCAGATCAGATGCGGTTGAGAACTGCTCACGAGCATACGCGTCTTTCGTCCTTGTGACGTGATTGGACGATTACAGCTAGTGACAGCAGGGATGCAAATGACATCAGGATTCCATGTCATTTCGAGTTTGGAAAAGTCAAAGGACACCACCTGGCGCGGCGTTGACTTGCAAAAGCCCTGCTGAACATGCATGGCTGACAATATCGCTTGAAAGTTCTCCGATTCCAAACTAGAAATCGCCTACAGAAAGAGAAATACACTACTCAATATTCATGCTTGAGCAACTCGAGCCTACTCTCTCGGCCAGGTGCCTTCATCCTCAAACACAGAGACAATTAGCATTGGGCTATTGATCTGCATGTGGTGGATTGGTCCATCTATATACTTGCTCGCTGGCGATGTTCCCAAAGCTAATGTATGATGTGCATTCCAAGGGGTCAAACTTAGCCATATGACAAAAATGGTTGCCTCTAAAATGTCTAAATTAGCTGCAACCATAGCTGCGCTCCAGCCTTTGCCAAAGCCACAGCCACAGCCACAGTGACAGCCTCCTTCCCCTGCCAGTCCGGCCTACTTTTGAGCTTCTCTGGGCGCCTCAAGCAAGCCTGTCTCCTCGTCCGTTTGTTGCGCCTGCTTCCTGGCTGCTTCCTTGGCGTTCATCTCCTGCATCTTGACGCGGTTGTACCAGCAGACGCCGGCGAAGGCGAGGAGGTAGCCGAGGAGGTTGAGGGTGGTGATTTGGTCGGCAATGACGGACCAGGAGAAGGCGATGAGCAGCCAGTCCTTGATGATCCCCGCCACGTTCATCGTCAGCGCCGACGTCTTGCCGATCAGCAGGAACACCGCCAGGTTCAGCGCGAACGCGCACACGCAGTTGGCGCCGAACACGAGCACGCTGGGGTGCGCGCCGGCCGCGAGCACGCTGGGGTGCGCGCCTCCCACGCGCCCCCTATGCGGCCCCTGGCGGCGCCCTGACGAGGCCCCTGCCGGCGCCCTATCGC